AGTAATTTGATGAGTTTTTACTACACCCCTATTGACCCAGAGGCTGAAATACACAGCAAACCACGAGGCAGTGGCCGCTCCTGTACACCCGTCCCTGGCAGAATAAAATATACAATCTTTGGTCTCTCTTCCGAGAGGAGAACCAGACGTCCTTCTCTTTTTAAACCTAGAATTCTTCGTCTCTTGCGGAAGAGGCTAGGCCCACACGGAGACATTTGTCCCGTCCAATCATCTAATGGCCACTGAACATGAATCTGGTTCCCTCCCTCCCCGAGAGCTGTGGGCTAGGATTATCACCAATAGTGTTCGAAAAAATGTAAGGGTCAAAACATTTCTCACCTCTTCCCACAGCCCGTTCTCTCCGTAGAGTTCCCACAAAGTCGAGTAATCAGACGAAGCAGCACTGCCCCGAGGGCTGTGGGGTAGGAGGGCTGTGGGCTCCGAAGGGTCTTTATCTACTACTGTGCGGGTTTACGGGATTCTTCCCGTCGGACGGAGCGTGTTTTTCATGTTCGCCGTCCTGTTGCAGTCCAGAACGCATTTGTCGGCGTCATTTCTCAAAGCACTCCGAGTTGTGCTCCTCGCGGTTGGATCGGTGACTCCAGCAGATGTGGTGATGGGATAAGTCTAAACATGTCATTAGAAATTACCTTCCGAGGAAGATTTCTCAGTATACCGCTAAAACTTGAATCCAATGTGCTTACGCAGAGTATCGGATGGTCTTCGCGTTGAACCATGTCCTTTTAGTGAACGTCCTGATTTTATCTTATCCCGCCTGTAGTAACCCTTCTCATGAGCCTAAGGCAAGCCTCCGTCACGTCAATGCAATGCCTATTTTTAAAAGAAATCGTCCCCCAAAAATAGTAAGTCATCGTATCCATTGAAATTTCCTGGATAAATTACGAATTTACATTCGCAACATAGATAGAGACCCATTTTTGACACATCTTTTAGTTGCCATTTCTGACACATCTCCCCCTCCTACCACGCACAAACTCTCTCATTCACGAATGTCTACTCCAAAGAGCTCCATTCCCAGCTCCTAACCTCGTCTCTATCTCCCCCTGATATAATTCTGGCGACGAAACTCCCCACTTACGTCACTAATTTTCGGTAGTTTCCCAAAGTTAAAGATTTAGCGGCACATTTACGCATCCAGTTCCATAGGTCAACCTCATCGGCAGACTAGTAACCAAAAGGAAGATTATTTTTGGCGATCGACTATGTCTATCAATGAATGCATGTATTTATGAAATTTTACGGGAAATACAACTAAAAGAACCTTTTCTTTTTAATGCTTCTGATCGTCCAACATCGTCGGTTGCCTCACTACATCCGCACATGATAACCCTAGGAACGGAGGAATGGAGAGGTTGCTACCATGTGTTATATTCTAGCACTCGCTTAGGCTGGCTGTGGTTGACCCTCATGCAACTGGTCACGGATGTATATTTATGGTTTAGAACCCACATCAGACGACGTCGATCTAATAGAGAAGTTAATGCAACCCAGTTTTTTATTTGTCCCATAGCTAGCTACTGGCGGAAAACCTAGTTTACCCTACTAATTAAGAGCTTCAACCTGCCAAAGCCGGTAATAATTCCAACGACTGACAGGATTAGATCAAGATAAGCGAACGGAATGAGATGATGCAATCTCACGTTGGAGATATGGAGTTATTAGGTTTAGAATATGATTAAAGCTAACGATCACGTGGTTGGAGGAGTTAAACGCGTTATACTAGTCCTCCGGTGAAGTCAAGCAGCGGAACCAGTGACTGACTGACAGACTTGTGGATCGTCGGCACGTGCGCTGAGTATTTCCCATTGGTTGTACGAGAGGAGCTGCGGATCCAGGGGCGGCATCACGTGGGGGATTTTATTCCAGGAACTAGTGATGAATTGGCATGTGCGACACAGCGGCGCCGCCGTCGTCTTCCTTCAACGGGACCAACTCTACCACGCCTTGCCGTGGGACGGGGTTCGTCTCGACTCTCCGATAACGATAAAGCTTCCCTTGTGTGTTGAGTTGTGCCAAGGAAATTTAACTGGTGGTTCAAAATGTTAAAACGATTCCACGTTTTAACTCTTTCGATGGGAGGTATTTGTGAGGCATGCGTACCACAGCAATTAAGAGGAGAGAAACCCTCTTAATCCAGCGTCTAATACTAGAGAGCCGCATGCGTGAGCTTGATGAACGGCTTATCGGTATCAAAACCCTGCAAAAGAGCAGCTTCGGAGTCTTTAAGGATCAGACGGCCACAAAGCAGCATGTCCCACAAACGATTCGGTCATCCTTGATCTAATAGGTCCGTTGAATGAAATTCGCAACCACATGCGAGAGGCCTTACATCCCAGCCCTCGATATCATATTTAGCTCTTCCAATAAGCGTATTATTATCAGCGCATTTCATATTATTTATGTTTGGAAAAGTCACACATATAAAACAACCTTACGGACCACAAAAGCCGAGCCGTCCAACGCTGGGGAAGAGCACTTGTGAGCACCACATTGGTCCGAATACTTGTTCTAATAACCACTATGGTGAACATTAGGCGAGGAGGATCGATCTCCGGAACAAAGAAGATTAATTGAATCTGTCGATAGAAGCAGGTGACGCGTAACAATGGAGGGGTCGTCGTTCGTACGGCGACCGGATTGTGCTTCAGCTCTCATACAAGCCACAAATATTGTTGCACTTAATCTCGGGGAGCCACAAAAAATCTAGATGCGTCCCCACGAATCTGGTCCCAACGCCGCCGTAGTTAAAGAGAGCGTTAAACTCGTCGACTGTCCCCTCCATCTTCTGTCGATAGTACGTGATCACGTGCCGGCGCGTACGGTAGGTGAACGCCAAAGCTTCGTACGACAGCATCTATAACAGTCTCTCAGACTGGTTATGATATCCATTTATTATGGATCAGTTTTGAATCGAATCTCTCAATCTTTTCGCATTAGTATCAGAGATCCGCATTTTATTCCATTACTGTGCACGCTCTACTTTAAGGTTTACCTTATGGAGCCAATAACAGTGAAAGATCATGAGAACAGTGTGACAACCGGTGCTGGTGTGGAGTGAGCCAACTTCCTTGAGGAATGGATTCAAAAGCATTGAATATAGATGGTGAAGCTAGGTACGGTGAGTCGGGGATAACTATTTATATTAAAACAAATATTATGAACATAAACAGAACTGAAGACGCACCACCAAGCAGATTAAACTTTCTCTACTAAAGCCTGAGAATAATCTAGATTTTCAGCCCACGCGTTACCTAAACTAGTATTCTTTTTTGCCGCAGACATACAGCATCTTGCTCAGCTTAGATCATATTATTCGCTGATTTAGGTCGTCAATGAGTATTTTGCCTTGTCTGTGACACTGCAAGAGGACGCGCTGTCACATGTAATGAAAGCTGGAAATGGGATGACCACGCTGTTCTCCAAAGTATGGGAAAACTCGTTTATTAGATAGCCTCCATCCCTAACATTCCACATTCAAAAGACTTCAAAACATGGTTTGATCCTCACTGGATGGTGCTGATCATGAGCAAGCCTCCCATTTGTACGAAGATCCTGCACTCCATGAAATCCCAAGTCTGATAAAGACAAGTGGCCGGGACGGGTCCTGGGATCTCAGGCCTTAATTCGGGGAGAAAAACTGCGAGATAGGTCGATGCGTAACTTCACCAAAGAGAACATCTAAAATTATTTCCTGCAACGCTCTTTATTCGATGAGATTCCAATATGCGATACAGTACCTAATGTTTTTTTCATTAAAAGATATTAATGGGAATGTTAGGCCTCGGAGACAGCAACCTTATATTTCTGTAGATCTGTAGTGATATCAATTCACGGGGGAATCTCGTGGAAGGCGTGGAACCGATAAATTGGCTTGATTTTCTTCTTCGTAAGTACCGATTTCCAGAACTGACCGTATGAGAAATGCATGGACCCTTGCTCGTCCCCACAGCACGTCCAGTGGAAAATAGTTTACGATCTGGGAAGAGAAGGAATAGTTCCGGTAGACGCCAGTTTCCACCTCCTTTGTGTTTCTATGTACTGAGTCATGATCTGATGAGATACTGCCCTCCCCTCGGTTCTTGGTTTTCGACCTTTTTTTCAAAGCCCATAGGATATACTCAAACAAGACATCCGTTAGCAAGAACACCCACTAAGATGGACCTCATGACCAGCAAAGAATTGATGTAGATTTCCAGTCTATGGGGTGTTTATTGCTTTGAAAGATGACATCCCCCATAAGGAGTAATTTTTTAGTTTACCATGGGGGGACTAAGTAAGAAATAAAGAGGTTTTTTCTTCTCAACCTGGAACACTTCCATTAGTACCGTAACGTGTTTTTATAATTCCTCTTCGGATCAAATCTGAATCCCTCTTTCTTCCAAGAGATAAAATGTGAAAGCATGCTATTCTGACTTAGAAAACAACTATAGCCATTTTGAATTTTTTTTATAATTTTGGAATAGGATAGGTTTGGTTGCTCTCACAACGGGAATGGTTGATTCGAGCGAAAATTTAGAAATCATTCACGCAATAAAGCTCTCCCTCGTAAGGAACGTACCGCTTCATCGCAGATCTTATTAGGTTGAGCTTCGCATGCTTAATAATCTCGCATCTCCCTAAAATCAGGAGCTCCTTGATCGCTTGTCCTGAAGAAGCCGGGACATCAGCATCGAGCGGGTAACTGTAGGGACCCTGTCGGGATCGAGGACGTTTTACTCAGGCCATCTCAAGTGGGATCGTTGGGGATCCTTTTCCTAATGGCGAGTTATCAACGGAGAGTTTTAACCCCCAGTGCCCCATCCTCCCACTCTGGATAAAAAAATCTGAATTTTCCATCATTTCCCTTCATGTGGTTCTGTATCCCTCATTTCTCCCGTCGAGGAACGAAGGGTTGGTTGATAGCTCTCTTGCCTTCTAGGACGTGCCACAAATATATTTATATAGAGATATCAACCCCACGTTCATCAAATGAAAAAGCAATGTGCCGTAGAAAAAAGTTGAGATGGCACGTGGATGTCCAAAAAGTATTGTCATATTATAAATCAATACATAGAACAAAAACCAGTATGAAGTATACTTTGAGTGTTGGGACATCCCGTGAGTCTGTCAAAAAACTAGTATCACATTATATATATAAAGACATTACTAAAATGTAACATCTACCGTATCTATAAGTTTTCATGATATACATGAAATGGTCATGGAAAATTCCTATCTTGGTAATCACGTAAGCTCGTCTCTCGAGCCGGCACCTGTCAGTCACATCATATTGGCCCCTGCTGGGTCCGACTCGTGGCAGTAGATGGAGGTGCCGACAGTCGCTTTCCGGCCTCCCCGGGACAGAGAACAGCGACCCCCACCCACCATTCATCCTTTGAGGTCACCAACTCCTGCAGCCTCCGATCGAGAAATGGAAACCAGGCAGTGATTGCCGAACGGAGGCGAAGGACATGAAGATCTTCTCATTATTCCCCCAATATAACTTGGAAGACCTGCATCCTCATGTAGCCCAGCCCGTGGCGGGATGGTTGAAGGAAGAGCAATTACGGGGTGCCAGGAGGAAAGCGACATCTGGGAGAATGGTCTCTACTCTAATCAACTGTTTACAGCACTGGGAGCCTCCTCGTCTCATTTCCACTTATCAAGGAGCATTCTTATAGGCTACCCAGCGAACGGTAAACTTAAGGTTTGGGCTCACAGAGAGAGAGAGAGAGAGAGAGAGAGAGAGAGAGGGACAGAGACAGACAGAGAGTAGGGGGAGACGTGGGCTCTACCTGTCGTCTCTCATCTCTATCTCAGATTCCGACACTACCTCTTATGTATTGCTAAAACGTAAGAGTCGGCGCTCCCCACTTTATCAGGACAAATGGGTATCTCTCTTGGTTCTCAAAGAAACTCGTAAGGGGATGAAGCTCCTGAGTCTTTTTTCATCACCCCTCCACTCCCGTCGCCCACCCTCTATCCCTTTCTTTTTCCTATCCCCAAAATATATAGATGGTGAAAGACCCATGAGTTACCACGGCCATCTTTCATATCCTCATTGGTTTGGGGTTAAGAAGCAAACTTCCTTGGTTCAAAAGCGGTCTTCATCAGATTCAAAGGAAGATATTTTGCTGTGGCACTCCCTTCTCACTGAAGGTTATTTATTCTCGGCATATTCGGATTTAAATCACAGTTATATATGGTCGTAAAAAGACGAAGATTTTCCGAGGTTCAACACTACTGATCATGAAGATCTTCGAAAAAGTACGTAGGATCAGTTCTTCGTATATTTCAGAATCTTAATAACGCTTTCAGACTTAAAGTTTTATTCAACTTTATCCAAGAAAATCAAAGCCAGATTGAAGAAATGACAAAGTTCTTTCCAGTACCAGTTCACCTTATATTACTTATATTTAAAGATTTCGACTTATAATAATGAGCTTTAAACCAAAGTTCGAGCATCGTAGTATTTTCTTACTCTCACCTCTGTCGCCCGAGGTTCTCACCGCAGTCCGCGTAATGACCTCATACAGAACGACAACCGCCATCGCCGGAAGGACCCCAGCTCCCACTGTCCGTCAACCGTTCAGCATTCTTTCAAGGCCACAAGGAAACCTCTCGGACCTGTTCTTCATATGTTCCTTTTCATAGTCATGGCCGGGCTCGGACAATTGTCCTTCCTTCCTACCTCCCATTGAACATATGAAGAACATATGAAAACGAGGAAGAACGAGGACCAACTCAGGGAACATAGTTCATGAACCGATGCCCCATCTGGCAACTCGACGTAATGACCCAAACCACTCTCAGCTCCGATTTTTGATAACCCAACTGGGGACCTCATCGGAGAGGGCAGGGCATGTTTGTCGTCGCCAATGTCGTCGGTTCTAAAGGGCGACCCCAGTTGTGCTTCCCTCCGTCGCCATCTACTAGCCGACATCTACTGGTAGACATGAGAGGAGTTCCTCCCCTCCACGGCCCTCACCCTCATCACATCAAGCCCAATTTTCTTCATACTGCAGCTGGGGGCAGAAATGCCATAATGTCTAGGGGAGTGGAGAGTAACTGAAGCAAGCCTCCCCCCACATGGATCAATTACGAGTTTGGTCGATCCCATTAAGCCATATGTTCCCCTGGTCGCATGGCAAGAAATAATAAGGCCATCGGGGGATTACTAGCACGCTATCCTCTTACATTGAGGTGGACGGTAGAGATCCCCCGGCTGGGGCCGGGAGTACCGCGTGTACACGGCGACAAGGATCGAGGTGGCCTTATTTTCTGGGTTGTGGAGGTGCTTTGAGTTTCCGCGTGGTTGCAGGTATTGCCTCAGCGTCGTAGCCATTAGGCTCTCCATGACTGTCTGTCTCAGGGGCCCATGCACGTGCTAGGAGAAGACTTCCGGCCAGGGAGAAACACGGGACATGTGAGTAGAGTGGATAACCTGAATTGAAAGCGCTTGGTTCCGTAATCAACGGAAGAGATGTAAAGAAACATTTGGTTGAGAAATTGCCATATATTTCTCATATCGACTCTGATAATGAACTCATAAAATCTCCATGTGCACCCTTGTCATCGGTTGACATTGGGGTGCGGGTTTCCTCCAATGTTTATTTGAAGGTCTGTTGGTGAAATTTTATGGCGTCTAGTTTTGGTAAAGTAGTTAACCTCTAGAAGAGAATAGGGTCCTGCGGATCCCAACGGCTGACTAACCCTCAACTAGTACAACTAATGCTAATAGGCATGACAACATTCCTCTCTTTACTTTGCCACATATGAATGGAGTTTAGGCGATCGTTTACTCTGGGGGGGGCCATGCCATTGTTAAATAGTTGTGATAGGTTTAGTGAACAAGCCACAGATTTACCTCTGGAGTTTGAAATAAAAAAACTTTACTTATGTCGAATCTAACCATAGTATACTGAAAGAGGTTAAATTATATTATTATAACGTTGGACTCATTCATATGGAAAGTCACATCTGGAACAGGACCATTGGAAACAAACAATGCAGGCTTTCAAAGGAAATATCAAGGGTTATTATAGGTTGCTAGGATTCACTCCGGACACTCAAACTACAAAAGTTCTCGAAGCATAGGATTATTTATTTGAGAGACGTTCTTATTGGACTAATGACTTTGAAATATGAGCTGATGGGATAAGCATTAAAGTAATTGATGCCCATTGACGTGCAGAGTACGATCATTGACAATGGAGGTAAAATATGAAACGACGAGATACAATTAAGATTTGCGTTAAGTTGCCAAACTTCACCAATAACTTAATCCAACCCCACCGTCCCAAAACCCGCTGCGACGCTTCCATGTATGGTAGGCCAGCCTTATTAACATCACCTTACTTTCAACGGCGTCACACCCTACATTACAAATGGCGGACCCGAGAATCTCTTCTGAGCCGAGATACTTGTCAACGTAGTCTCCTCAATCCATGGGTTTCTTATCTTCGCTTCTCTCCAATGTCGTGTTCTCTCTCTCTCTAGCCCCGCCCTCCAAACTCCATGCGCATATGATCTTAGTTAGGGGAAGACAGGCACTATAATGTTATGCAAGCGTTTTTTGGTGGGTACTACAATATATTATTGGCATGGATTACTCGTGATTAAGTTTTCTGTCCTGACGTGAAATTGACAACAACGTATTTATAGCGGCTAGTACAGTAAACGACACCGATTGTATGCATTAATTAATGCAACCGATCCTAGAAGTACCGCAGGGAAGGGCCTAGCAGCCCCTCTATCATTAAGAACTCCGACTCGATGATTGTATTAGACTGATTTAAGAGACCGTAATGGAAAATAAGAATGGCGGTGATGCATCCGCTATTTCACATAACATGCATGGATCCCCGCGTGAAACGTGGTTAAGAGTAGGATTTGTGAGGACAATCTATTCGCTTAGATTGTCAAAAGGCTCTGAGGTCTTGCTGGGGAGACGGCGAGCGCCATGACTGGCTAGAACAGCGGGGTCGCCGCCACTCCAACCGCTTCCGACTAGGCCATGCACGATCGGCATCACGACGCGATGTCGTTGAGTACTGAAACTGCGGCATCCTCGCCGGTTTATTCCGGCAGGAACAACCCAATGCCGTGAGGTCGGTTAATCTCATAGATGTGACATTGAGAGTGGCCCGCGTGCAGGAGAAGCTTCTCTCCGGTTCGAGCTCCCGGAGAAAATCTAGATGCCGACTATAGTGCCGAAAAGTTTACGTTTTTACACGTTCCTTGACACGGGTTTTTTGAGGCACGCGTACGACGAGGAAACAGAAAATAAAACCGCATGCATTTGCTTCATGGAGGGTTTAATTATTCTAAAATATTGGTGAACCTGCCTGAGGAGCTTGGATCGGGCCACCACAAGGCAACTTGCCCCACAATAAATCTAGCGTCCGTCGATTAAAGGGCTCGTTGACCGCAGTCCATAAATGGCTCCGCCAGCTCATGCGTGTTGTCAGGTCCGTCACCGGTACGCATTTAGACCATTTTGCAGCACGGTGTCGGACAATTTGACGCCCAAGATTAAGGTATTTCCAATGATTTTATGAGCTCTTTCTGTCATGTGTAGACAATATATGTAAGTTAGGTCAGTAAAGTTTATTATGACAACAAATGGGAAGCCCCTCATTTCATGGCTGGAGCCACTGATATTGTCAGATGAGAAAATAAGTAAAAAACATCCCACTGCGTCGTCTCGGGACGGAACAGACCCTTTTTAACAGCTTATAAAAATGAGGAAGCCGCGTGATCTAGATAACCTTTCAAGTGGCTGCGGGATCCAAGTCGGCCCTTCGTCAGGCCTGTGAAGGGGTCGCGCCGCGGGACTAAGCAGGGCCTTCTCGCTGAGCAACATTTGGACCTGACTCACGGCACCTGGCACGGGGGGAAGGAACCAAAGGATGAACCAAATAACATAAGCGCCAAAGAGTACGTGGGTCTCACCCACCTCCCACTGCGACGGGGTCGTGCAGCCGGTAGCCTCCCCCCCCCCCCCACCCAACCACCACCGTACGGCGCTTTTCTCGCGAATTCAGGCGATGTGGAGTGTGGGGCACCACGGATTTCATCGTCTATTCGGACGACGAGGAGCACAAAGATGCTATTCCCGGGATCAAAACAAAATCCGATCTCCAACTGCGGGGAGAATCGAATTCTTTCGTCTCCTACGTGGACCAGTGTCCCCCTGACCCACCCGTTTTTGTCACTCACGGGTCGCCCAAGCCTACACGCCAACGAGCCACATGTAGTGGATGATCATCGTTTCGCCCATACTAACCTGTCTGCTGGCTCGATGTCTCCGGCCGAGATGGGGAGGATCCTGTGTTTAACTCGGAAAAGCTGCCCTCTGTGGTTTAGCTTGGGCGACGCAATGTTTTCATCCCATCGCGCCACCCCCCTCTTCCTCCCCGGGGCTCCCTCCCTCCACGGCCATGACTCCTCCTAACAACTCAATTATTGCACCAGGGGAATCTCTTTTACATTTGCTTCTCCAAGGCGGCACAGGAGCATCGTGAGGACGCCGCGGCTCACGGGAGCAAGTAAAATGACATGGTCTAACCAGGCTTTCTTGTTCTTTTCCTTAGACTAATACGTAACGGTTGAGTGTCCCATCTGAAACGTATGTCTCGGCTCCGCCATCGGCAAATGTCAGACAAGGCGCTCGGCCAGCTGTTCCCTCGTGGAAGTTCCCAGTTCCACCGAGAATCGCCACCCCACCCTTCCCTGCGGCCTGAGTTGGCTTGGGCAGGCGACAATGGCGACGCTCCGTCCCATCCCCTCCCATCCCCTCCCATCCCGTCGTCATCAAGCTGAGGTTTTCACCCTGTTGATCATGAGGGGTTGGAAACAACAGTGGCTGATCAACCTTGTTTTTTGGTCAGGAAAAATTATTTTTTCTAGTCACCATAGCGTACATCCTAGTTTTGCTTACCATTTAAAATATTTACCTTCTCGAATCAGACGAATTAAGTTCTGAAATTTCTGAATGAATGGTGTACCGTATAATTGATTGTTTCCAGGTTCTAAGAGACGATAGTGTAGGTTTTACTGCAAAAAATTGAAACATATAGGACAGTAAAATCTGGATAAACTGTATGTCGAGTTGATGTGGCTCCACTAAGAGACATTACTTGAAATATAATTCATAGATTTTCAACAGTTAAAATGAGATGATTAACACCATCACATGTGAGGACATGCGCCTATAAGTTCACAGATTTCAATCAGAGTGGTGACTATCAATGAACGTCAACTCATCTTGTTAGAGTCTTTTTATAAGATCCAAAGAAAATTTTACCGTTCATTATGTTCTCGGAGCATCCAATTTAAATATATCCGAATGTCAGACTGAACACTCAGCGGTTTCTATTTTCATCATCGAACGTTTCTAAAAGAAAAAGAACACAATTTGACGTTTTGATGCCACGGTTCAACAACTCTCTTAATCTTCTGTCGTATTTTCCTTTTTCTCAAATACCAGCAGTTTTCTCGTGAAAGCTCCAGCTGAAATACGAAAATCATTTCGACAACTGGTTGTAATGTTAGGACGGATTCCCAATATTAGAGTGCCTAATAAAACTGACATATTCGAATGGAGAAACTTATAAAAACTTACTAACCATCTACAATCAGCTTAGACCTCCCAGATTTATCTTCCTCCAGTTGAAATATATCCCTATATTGTCCTTTGCTGGCGACGATGATGAAGTGGTAATGAACCTTTTTCTACTCACATTTCCCTTGAGAAGTTCTTCGCGCAAAGTTTATAAAGACCGAGATTTTTCCACTTATTTCAACCGGAGGACATCTGATAAAGCTCAAAATATTTCAATGAGGAAAACTTTCTAAGAAAATCCGAAAAACGCGGGAAAAGCAAGCATTAGCGACACTGTGATCAAATAGGTGAATTTCTTGTTAAACATAAAAGTAATTACAACAAAAGATAGTAAAAACTAGTTCAAAATTAATAGCAATGCTGAAAACGATTCGAAAAGGTTCACCCGCTGGATGATTAATCTCTGGTCGGTGTCTCCGTGGGCAGAAGGCGAGGAAGCATCCGGGAGAGGGTGTGGGTTCACAAGCGAGTAGCAGCAATGAAGAAAGAAACAGAGTCAGAGAACACAGCGACTCCCGCTCGATAAGATAAAGAAGGTGTTGAAATCAAGGCGCAGTCCCCCAGTTCGACTAGTTCTGTAGTATCTTCCTCTACAGGCGGGGGAAGGGAGACGACGAGGCCCTGAGAAGAATCCCGGCCAGCTCAATCCCTCGGATAGAAGGGATGTCTTGGATCGCCACTAGGCAGGAAAGACGAGTGGGAGGGGAAGTTTCGGAGAGAGAGAAGCTTTTGACGTAATGAGAGTCCGCCATCAACCTCTTCCTCTGGTTCGGTCATTTTTTTCTGCAGAACTGTACACTTGATTGAGAAGTGGGAGTGACGACGGAAGGCCGACATGTTCATAACAATCACGATGAGACGTTCCGATGTGGAGACGAGAAGGTTTATAAAGGGAAGGAGAATAAGGGAGCGAGATTACGGAGAGATTGCTTGAAGATTATGGACGGCTGGCTTCCTCCCCATCTATGGAAAAAATTGTAGAAAGTGGCCCAAGGGAAAGCTCTGATCCCTCTAGTGATCCCATAGCGGAGTTTCCAAGCCGGGAGCTTCTGGCACCACAGCAAGCCAGGCTTGATCGGCAAAGGAACCGTAGTCGTCGGCGCTCTCCATCCACGGTGGAGAGTACGAAGACCAAGATTCGTCTGATTCATGGAACACAAACTCGTTGCCCAACTCGGACGGCTCGAAAAAACTCGGGCCTAGTCGGGGAAGCTCCACAATCTCGTCGAGATCGTCAGATGTCGGAGTCGTCGCCGAGGACGAGCAGAGGGCGGATTTCGGCTCCATTGCCGCAGCCTTTGCGGCGGCGGTCTGCACGTCACGCGGGGACAGTGTCGCTGGGCGAGGGAGCGAGTGGGCGAGCTCGGGGAAGTTGAGCACTGCGGCGTTGCCCTTGATGCTGAGTGCCGCGACGTCGTGTGCGCGGGCGGCCATCTCCGGTGTGGGGAAGGTGCCGAGCCAGATACGCGACTTCTTGCGAGGCTCGCGGATCTCCGAGACCCATTTTCCCCAATTGCGCATCCTCACGCCACGGTAGACCGGGTGCTTGCTGCTGTCCCGGGTCCGCTTGGTAGCCTTCTTCTCGTCCGGGGAGGAATCTCCTATTGCGCCGCTGGACGTCCCAGAAAGAGGATTGTGTAGACTCTGCGAGAAAGAGGAAGACGTGGGGGACGATGGGGACATCGAGCAGGAGCTGCTCTCTGGATCAGGGGAGTTGGGGAGATCGGCGGCCGAAGACGTCATCCCTCCCTCTTCGGTCTCCTCCCGTACAGAGGTCCTGGTGACGAATATCAGAGGCTCTGCGTCTGGCCTTGATGTACTTACAAATCAGGCGCAGTGTACATGGAGGCGATTCGCGAGGGGTTAGAGAGAGAGAGAGAGAGAGAGGGAGAGCTTGTGGGAGGTTGGGAAGGCGGGGAAGGCGGGGGATGAGCTGCTAGAGAAGTCAATGCAAGGAGCCCATTGGCTCGAAGATACTGGGGAAGTTTTCCACTACGGCAGTTTTTGACCTCCTTGAATCTGCTGGAGGGAATTGGACATTGGAGGCCTCAAAAGTACATCAAAAGAGGTACCTTGCAGAAAGATCGAAGGAGGGCAAAACGGTGGACGTGTAGAATCGTCTCATAATAGGAACGTCAGGAAAAAAGTGAGGTTGCCAGGGAACTCTCTTCTCTATCTCTCTCCTTCTTCCTTTCCCTCCCTCTCTCTATATATCTATTCTCCATACATGGACGTTTCCCGCTGGGGAAAGAGGAGATGGCTGCTGGTGAAGTGCTGTGCTTCAGGTTCGGGGAGCAGAGAGCTTCTCCTAGAAGAACAACGAAGAGCGACACAAAAGAGGGTGAGGGTGAGTGATAAGGGAAAGAGCGATGGCAAGAGAAGGAAGCGGAGGGAGATTATGAGGAGGTTTTATTACGAGAGGGGCAAGGGGGCAGTGCAGGATTGAAGCGACCCGCAACCCATCCGATCATATTATGTAAGGGAGAGAGACAGAGAGAGTTAAGTGAGTGAGAAAGGGGGAGGCAAGAGAGAGAGAGAGTGAGTGAGAAAGGGAGAGAGAGAGAGAGAGAGAGAGGGAAGGAGGGAAGGAGGGAAGGAAGGAGAGAGTGAGAGGGAGAAAAGGAGGGAGAGAGGGAGACGGAGGAGAGAAGGAGAGACCTTAGCAAAGGGGTTTCTGGTTGGTAGACCCCTCGTGGCCGAGGAGTCGCTGTCTCTCTCTAACGTCCCCACGCTCGCCATAAATATTTGCCGTTTAGTTCTCACCGCGACTGGCGGGGCCCATCCTCCCCCCTCTCCAGTTTTTTTTCAGCCTCACGGGAAGCTGCAAGCTCGTCTCAAGCTGTTCTAACTCAGAATGGGGAGATCTCATTGGGCCGAAGAGGAGACGCTCCAGAGCCGACCTCTACTCGGACTGCAAGACCTCCAGCTCAAATATTTCATCCTCGTCCACCAAGGAGAAGATGACGAGAGCGAGGAAGAGAGATGAGAACAAGGATTGGGATTGGGATGCCCCTCTTTCTTACTTTCTCTCTCATCAAACTGGTTGGGATCCTTCTGACTTGATTACTTCCTGCGCCCGACGGCCAGTGAATTGAATGGACAATGAAATGTTAAAGCTACCCATTCCTTGAATATCTTTTCTTATTCGTGGGAATCCGTGGACCGAAGCCCGGTTCATCTACTTCTTCTGTTTTCACTTCCAGTTCATTTTCGGAATAACTGTACAGCAAATGTATCCATCCCCCACCCCAAACCCATGCGGGATGTCGTGAACACAGTAGGACAAACATGTCAGGGCAGCAGACCAGGATCCATGGAGGAGGGGAAGATGTACGGGTCGCTGTGCGGGAGAGAATGACTATGACGGCTGTGCTAGGGTTAGACTCCGCCGCCCTCAGCCCTGGGCTCCTGGCTGATTATGAGAACCAGCGGACGCGCAAAGGTAGCGCATGGAGCAGCAGCACGAGACTCATGCGAGCTGCTATCGGATTGGGCGTGGCCGTGGCCGAGCTGTCAAGCGAGTGAGCTCACAGAGACCTGTCCTCGGATTAGAATGCTCTCTAGACGAAAGAGACCACCATTCATCTCAAGCAAATCCCTTCTAGTGCAGGAGGAAGATCGCCGCCTGTATTATGGTGAGTCTACATGGTTAACTCGCTGAAATCTCGGTGGCTTCTTCATTATCTTACCAAGGACCCGGGGAAAACGACGAAACCAATGCCCATGGAAGTGTCTTCATTTGCCTACCGGCGCCGGAGGGCCAAGCCTAAACCGTGTGCAGCGGGACGCAAGTCAGACACGTTGCCTGGGAACCAGGCGCGAGTTCGGCTGGGATTTTAAGAGTCAGCTCTAGCTTCTCAGTCATCCCATCAAATATTCATCAAAACCTTAACGATTTATAAAGCTTAGACGCTGAAATATGCTTGCATTTGCCAAAAGATATATACGGGATGTCTCTATAGCTTAGATTTGGCATCTCTCACACGTCTCCCATCGGAAAGCAGACGCGCAAGGAAGAGGAGAAGAAAGGAAGACGGAGCTGCACTTCTGCATGGATTCTACGCAGAGTTTCCACTTTGGACGGATTGATGTCGATGCAAAGAAGGTTGCCGTCCGGGGCCGCCGCTGGCCGTCGCCATCGTAATCCCGCCCCAGAAGAAAGGCCTTTGCTTTCTCCGCCCCTCGATTCTCTCGACAGGTGTTTGAGCCTCGTCGACGGGGGGTCCTCACCTTCAACAGTCCGTAGCTCCCGCATCTTTCCGTCTTTTTGGACTCCAGACTTGTGATGTTCCCTCCCCCGGCGGCCTTCAGACAGGAAAGGCTAGCAATGGGCCCCCGCTGCCCTTGCCTCCGGCGAGGAAAAGGAGGGCAGCGTCTCCTCAACCCGAGGCCTGTTGAGGCGTATGCCCGGTGACAGCCAAATAGACGAAAGCGACACATTTAGCCGCCAGGATTGTTGACGAGGGGGTGGCATGCGGAGGTGGTGGGCCGGAGACGAAGCTGTCTACCGTTCCTGGATGATATTTTCCTTGAAATCGAGCTCGAGAGAGTTCATTGGATATCGTGTCGCCTTCGTACCCCCAGTGGCTGGGTTTTTCCGTCCTCCACAGCCCAACTCAAGTCTCCGTCTTCACTGTAGGTAGAAAGAGAAGCCATCCTCCCCCCCCCCCGTGCGATTACTTGCCTCGACGCTCTGTGGCAGCATCTGTACTATTTGCCTACGTAGGTTGTGCTGTGAGGCTACAGGGAGGGAACTTCAGCTCCTTGCTCTTCTGACGAAGAACTCAGCATGTAGATCGAGTCAGAACGCCATGTAGGATCATGCAAATGGGTAAAGGCTGAGTGGCGCCCTCTACTCCATTAATAGGCAAGGGAAGGTCTCTTGCACTATCTTTTGGCCTCTTCATGATCAGAACGGTCGATCCTGGCCAAAAAAGAAATCATCTTTGACTACGGTAAAAAGCAACAGTGACAAATATATTAATATCCATCTTTGGGTAATTTCCCGCTCTTTTCGAGATTCATTATATAGAACAGACGATCCAGGAAATAAAGAAAACATTTTTTTACTGCAATTCAAAGTACTCTGAAATAGATCAATATTCATGTTTGGGTAATAATTGAGTGAACATGATGTGACATAATATCTCCGATCTCTGCGTTTATGAGCCAGATAACAGATATTTTGCTGGTAAGTAATCGGCTGACTTATTTCTTGCTATCACGATCAAAAGGGGGTGGGAAAGCAGCAGTAACTCCTTGGAAAGTTCAGGCTCTCTGTCAGCTTTCGAGCTTTTTACTCGATCCAAGTCTTGTTTTCTCACATACCTTCCCGCCAATAAGTAGAATCGAAGCAACGATTTTATTAGGTGACGCGCCGTGTGGGCGAAGTCGTTCTAGTGAGTGACTGCGGTTTTATATTTGTAAGAAAGGAGGGGGGGACTCCCCTGGAAAAGGTACTGGACCGGTTCCGGTCGGTACGGTGGAAGAAAGCGGGCGCATGGCTTGTTTTGTGGCGGCGGGAGGTGTGGCCAGGCCGAAGACGGCAGAAGACGGCCGGAAACTGTAGGAGGGGTAAAGGCAGCCGCCGGGAGCAGCGGCGACTTCGGCATAGGCCTGCGCTCTGTGTGTGGTTTCAGGTGGTCGCCTAGGGCCTGGGAGTCGGTGAACTTCGTGCGACGGCCCTGGCACAAGAAGTTCCTCCCCTCCACACTGCCGACACCACAGCGCCCCGGCGAAATTTTAGGTCCCTTCTCTCTCCGGCAGAAGCCGGGCCCCTTCCTTTGAGGGGTGGAAACAGTCTCCATCACCTCTCTGGCAGAAACCGACCTCCCCCTCCATTTCTTCTTCTCAGCTGTAGCCCAACCAAGCCCAAAGACCATTTCTGCTGGGTGAATGGTCGACGTTCGACGACAAGGAACAACACCATGGCGCCGCCAGACGTCTGTGCGGTCTTGGCTGGAGGAGGAAAGACTATCGAATGAGGACTAACGAGCAGGGTACGTAGAATTTGGTCTGGCAGCTAGATCGGCCAATCTGTGGGAGGCTATAACTTATTCAAATAAATATAAAAGGTGCGAAGAAAAATTTATTAAGTATACTTATAATTATATATGATCAAACGTTGTCAACTCTGGATGTAAACACTGCTTTAAAAAGGAATTTTTTCGCCTAATTTGTCTTCTCTTGCGGCGGATAGGCACTTGAATTCTTCGAGGTGAGAGACGGCGGTAGTTAGGCACAGCAGTTTGAGCAAGGTAGTCTTAGTTTTTTTTCTCAACATTTTCTTCTGCCCGCCACGCCAGTCCCCAGCAAAATCGGAGAGATCGTAGTGAAACAACCCACAACAATGGTTGTGATTATGATCGCCCTTCTGCCAGTGCGCCGTTTTGGTTGGTACCTGGTGACGGTTTGCCCTGGGCCAAGTATGTATTGGATCAATCCATATTGGCTCAAACTTCGTTTTCTCATTTAATTTTAATATGGTTTGGTATTATGTCCCCACCATATTACTAGAGATACCATAAACCCTTAATTTTTTTAGTTGGGCTTCTAGACCTTCAAGACCTATCTGATCTTTACAACTTAGCTTGTAGATCCTACTAACCATAGTTGATATCTAATTAGGTGCACCAAAGGCTAAACTACCCTCATAGGTTATCATAATTATAGAGATTATAGAATTTTGGTTATTGTATCAAAGAGGAAGAGGGAGCCCGTTAGTGCTGAGCCCAATGGGAGATGATTGCTGACACAGTTGACCAAGAGGGAGCTCCTTATCTTGCTACTCACTCTTCCGCCTTTTTCCCTCTATCATCTGGGGGAGACGGAGAGAGAGAGAGAGAGGAGCGTTAAATAACTCACAAGGTACATCCTAGTTAGTGTACCATAATTGCTTGGTATGGCAGTGGGTTCTATTTCCCTCGATTAAGGGTAACCGGTTCCCCCAGCTAGCGGGGATATGGTGGTCATCACACTAGGGATAGTTGGCAGAGGATCTTTAAAGGCATTAGCCCAACAAAAAGAAAAGAAAAGAGGAGAAGAGAGAGAAGGAAACCTTTTAATTATAAATATTCTGTATGCTTGTTATGCGTTAATTAAATTTTATTTATATTAGCTCTCGATCCAAATTTCTTTATTTTTCTGACACTCATTTTTAATATACTTGAGTTGAAACTTCTTTACGAATTTTAAATGGCAATTAGCGTTTATTTCGGATCGTTTAATGAGCATATGTTATCGGTATGTCATTCGGTAAAAGTTCTTTCTCATTTCGAGGAAAAGGTTCGGGAGGAAAGGGAAACAACGGAGGGATCCGAATCGGACCTAAATGGGAATACCCGTTACAGTGTCCATTAATTACTTCCGACACTTCCATTAATGGGGGGGATGGATGATCGCCTTTTAAAAATACAATGCCTTGTATCCAAAATAATTCCTAGGAATATTCTTCCGGCTTCACCTCTGGGAGAAATTCCTAATTCGGGCAAGTCTCCAGGGGCCTGTAGCAACGAGAAGAAAAGCTCGGGACATATGCCTAAAAACGGGCTTTTACAGGGAGTGAAAGGTAGTCAACCCTAAGACTAGACAACGTTTATTTTAAACGACGCGGATAACACAAAATGGGCCGTGTGGACTCGTGAGAGCAGCCCATTTCTCCTTAAAACGGCCTTACTGCCATTCGCCCAAATGGGCCCTCTACTTCCAAATAGTTCGTCTGGGCCCAATAAATCGTTTTCATCGAATTTGGGCTCCATATTTTTTATAACTTGGGCTGAGTCTGCCGGACGGGTTCGGCTTAGAAGCCGACTCGCCTCGGTCAACGATAAGACCGCCCTTCCGTGCTTTCCGCCGCCGTCTAGACGCCCCACGCCACCGCCGTGAGTTGTTTCACCTGATCCACGCCGCTCCACCTTAACCAAACCACAGCAGTATCACCCGCCGTTAGAGAGAGAGAGAGAGAGAGAGTCTTTGGATGGGCGGCGCAGTCCCATGCTATCTGTTCCGCCGGGGGAAGCGGAAGTGGTTCGGATCGGCGTCGTGTGGAGATTCTTTCATATATATCCTTACTATAGTTAAAATTGTATATACGTTACTCCCTTATGGGTTGCATCCGATCCGGTTTGGGATTTCGACCGTGGTTCAAAAAAGCGAACCGACCTGTTCATCACCGCCCGAACCCGAAACGGGATGGGGGCAACGCGCGTCTATCTATAAATTCGAACGAGGACGAGCTGATGTCGTCGGAATTTTCTCTACTTTTTCCCTCCCTCCCTCTCTCTCTGCTTGCCGCAACCAATGGAAGTTCCGTCGCGGGCATCGTTCCTCGGAATGGACGAGGTCGACGGATCGTATCGAGGACTCCCTTCCCTCTACCTAGGGCTGTTGGCTGCCTGGTCGATCTCGACATTCTACTGGGGTGTCAACACATGGAGAAATCGACACTTCCAGGTTCTTGAGGCAGTCCCTCGACATTCTACTGGTCTGTCTGTCATTTGTCTGTGGGCAGCCACCCTCGGTGATATTTTCGTCACTGCTATGTAGGCTTTAGTTTTCTCCTCGATCTTGCAATTCTCTTTGTTCCTTACCGCGTGACATCCGTTCTTCCCGCCTCCCTTCCGTCAGTTCGGTGGTTTTAGGTTTCTTCGTTCAGGTCTGACATTAGGTGAGCGTACATTCTCGGTACAAATGATTTATCCCTTCGTCTTGCTCAGTTGTTGCTTTGATCTTATGTGTATTTTCATCCCTTTGGATCAATGAAATGTGGATATAGAGGTTTCAACATCATTTTAAGTCCATCTTTTAGACGTCCGTAGAAATTTAACGCGTTTTCTCTGAACTATGACTCATTTTCCGCCGCGTCTTTTCGATTTTGCATTGGCCGTGATCCACGTACTTAAAGAAGGAAATTAGTATGCCTTCAACATCATATTTCTGAAGAAATCCAGAGAGATTGATGATCTGTGTTCTTTTACTTGAATCATGTATTATTTTCATACTCTCCGCTATATTCTTTTTTTAGATGAATATTTAACTATTAATTCCCTTTATGTATTGAACGGATATGACTGTGCAGCTAAACAATCTACAATGGATCTTGGCTTCGGCTCCGTTGACCAAGGTTCTACAACTTGGGCTTTCCCTCCTGTTCTGGTAAGATTTTCATCGGCCATCTCTGTTTTGCTGCATCCCAAAATAGCGGTTCTGTCCCATGATACTCTGCTTTTCAGTTCAAAAAATGCATGCCTATTTCAGTACTCTGATAAGCTATCCAAATTTGTATTTCAAGATCCCTCTCCATATAATCAACCACCCAAATAGTTAAAAAGTAAGTGAAAAAGGGGATTAAATCATGCTAAAATAGTAACTATACTCTTCACCGAAGGAAACAATCTGTGAGATGTTGTCTGATGGGATGATCTAAATTGTTTTTCATCGTGAGCTAGGAACATATGAAGAATTATTTTTTATGAAAAGGTTTAGCCTTTTTTTTTTGGCACAATTTGAAGAATTTTGTTACTATGCTTCTGCATCTTAATCTCATATTGGACGTTTGGAGCAATGTGCTCGTGTTTTGGTAAAAAGATGGTACTTGTGATGTAAAAGTACCCTGGCCATTACAACTGTGATCCTCTGAGAATGAATGCATTATTTTGAGATATATATTATATAAATTATGTTGAAATTTCTTGTTATAAACTATCTGTGTTTTAAATTTGGAATTGAAAAGCTAACTAGCATTTACTTTTGCTATTTTGTGTGTGTATTTTCAGGCACTCATGTTACAACCTTGAGACATGCTCTCTATGGATGTCTTTTGGAGTCTATGTCTCTGGAATATTTTATCAGACTACAACTTTTGTGTGTTTCCTGCTAATTTCACATGGGTATTGCATCATGTGTGAGCAACTCTCCATCAATGAGCAACGTAGAACAGCTACACTAGCATGTTTCTTGTACTTCACCCTTGTTGGATACAGAGCGGATGTACCATATTCCACTGTGAGTGTCAGATTCTACGCTCAGATTTTTGCCTTTTTAGATGGATACTACGTGGAGCAAGTTCTGATTCCAATGACCCTTTTCAATGCCATGTGTTCCATTTTTTCCTTTTTTTGAGCCTGGAGACGTGTCATGATTTGATTTTTCAGGTCAAAGGAGCCAAAGAGCTAAAATATCTTTGTTTTCAATGCAGGTATTCATGCTCCTTTGCTACTTTTTGGCTTTCTACATGATATTCTGCCATATCTCGCAGAACCTCGTAGCATTGAGGGAGCAACTCACTTCTAGCTATCTAGACGGAAGTATACATGGAATGCATGATGCCATGCATACAAAGTTTACCATGTACAAGTAGGTTGTGCAGTTGCATCACTAGTCCTCTTCGTTATGTTATTAAAGTGGTTTTCTTGTTTGAAATACACGGAAAGGAATGTCTTAGGAAATTATTTTGATTAAGAGAAGAGACTTTGCTCTAACTGCGTTCATCTACGAATTTCCCATGTTTAGGAAATTCCAGGGCGCCATGCAGATTGTAGCTGTGATTGAAGTTGCGGTATGAGTTCCCCATTCATTGATTTCCTTCTTCGCCAGTATTATATGTTGAACTGAGAAAGTAGAGAACTATTTGGCTGATTTAGGAAATTCTCATCTTTAGATCTATATGAATATGGACGATGCTATAGATGATTACTGGTTCAGATTGTTAGCGAGGGAGTGGACACAATTCTGCATCTTCATGTACATTGGGTAAGTTTCGGGCTATCTCACATCTAAAAATACTTTCTCAATGTTTTCAGATTCTTCTCTCATCAGTGGCAACTGTTCACTATATGCTAATCACCGACTGTGTAGCTTCTGTCAACAAAGAACTCTTGCTTCCAAGGGTGAATATGATTGATGGGAATAACTCACTTAGAGGAATTCAACTTCTTTCAGGTGGATATTCAGACCACAGGAAATTTCGCCACTCTTCTCTGTTATGCGTATGGTGAAGAGCCGAGGAGTGAGGGTTCCACTGCCAGTCTACCGTGTGGTATGCTCTTTGTCGATGATTTCAATGTTTTTAACCCGTATAACTGTGTTGTTGGTGGTGGGACGGAAGAAATGTAGAAGGTTTATGTTGCAGAATGCTCGAGTCCTTGCGTCCTGTGCTTTACATCAAAAGTTTCTATAGATCTTCGCTTGCATGTCTGAGTTTAAAGCCCCCTTCTCTTGTCTGACGGTTGCTCATATATCTATACATGTTCTGCGGAAGAACTTTAGTTCACACATCAACAAAGGCGATAAAACTGTCTGGAAATAATATATTTCTCGATTTACCCCATCGCAAAATCGTCATCCTTGCTTCCATATAGGAAACTGGAAAATTATGATATTCCCCACCCAGGCCCAATGTTTTGCAGTTAAGACATTAAATAATAGCATCCATGTTCATATGCTTACAATCATTTTCGATTAGTTTGTCATATCATATCTATGATTTCTTAAAAACTATTTAGATTCATAACTAGACTATGTTTCATGCAATTACCATTCATTTATTTACGATGATTTAGGCGGTTCGCTTTCCGAAACCATTATGACGGCTCACATTATCTCAGGAAATTGATGCCGCCGACTTCAGAGATCTGGCTTCTCAATCATTGCAGGTTGGGGTGGTGAGCTCGTTGACCAGACCATCGTTAGACTCCCAGTCGAAGTTCCCTTAAAATTACTACATTGGCCGGAAAACCATTTCCTTATTTAGCTTTTTTATCCTGCTGTGTTTACATCGATTTTGGTCAGACTAACGAAATAAACTGCTCCGTAGTTCTCACAGCTAATCTATCATGCGCAGCCAAAGTCCCTTCCCCGCGGAGACCCGCGGGGCTCAATCGATCAGCTGCTCGTCGTAGTTCAGCATCCCGTTTGTAGGAAAGCGGCTGCCGCATGACACTCCACTTCACCACACCGCGCGGCAATGGCTAACCACCCAACTACTGCCGTATAGAGAATGCTCCTCTTACGGTGGACAAGATACGACCCGTTGGCTGAGCGCATCATGGGTGATTTTTATGGCCACTCAATGAGAATTCCCCCAAGGTTTAAGTTTTTACCTGTCTGGATGGCCCTGTAAAATGCCCGGACCTCTTCGGAACTGCATTGTATAGATGTCGGAGAGGAGAATTGGGTATTTATTTATTTCTTTATTGATGATGACGAGGAATTAGATAGGTAGGAAGCACATATATATATGCAGTCTGAGATCCGTACAGCCGTCGGCGCGTTACTAGACGACTACCGCCCGACGGTTGAAGCGCCGTCGGGCGACGACCTTAGCTGGAAGACCCGGTTGAACCAGACGGAGTGGAGGATCATGTGGAAGAGGTCGTACCTGGTGGGCTGGTCGTGCCAGAGGAAGTGCTTCTGCACCTTCCTCACGCCGGTCTGCAGGGCCAGGTACCTGGGCCTGGAGATGGAGAGGAGGATCTCCTTCAGCCGGGGGACGTCCTTCTCCTCGACGATGACGGAGAAGGCCCCCCAGTCGAGCACCTCGAAGAAGGGCGGCACGAAGTTGTCGGAGATGATCACCGGCACGCACTCGTAGAAGATGGCCTCCACCACCCTCGGGCTGTTCACCTCGAACCCGCGCGGGCACACGCAGAACCTGCTGCTCTTCATGTACTGGGCGTAGTCCGCCGCCTTCTTCACCCCGCCGCCGCCGGTGCTGCCGCCGAGGGGCATCGTGTCGAGGATCGCCATGTCGGGGTCGTCCCCCCAGTGCTGCAGCAGCGCGGGGCGGAGGTAGCCGTGCATCTGACCCGCGAAGAAGGCCAGCAGGGTCCTATTCCTCCCCGGCCACCCGCCGAGGTTCTCCGCCGGGTCCTGCACGCTGCGCACGTTCGTCTCCGGCAGGGAGACGTCCTTCCCCACCACAAAGTCCTCCGTGGTGTCGGCATTGCAGAGGGCCCTGACGGGGGTCCCCATCGCTCGCCATGTCTCGTGCGTCGCCTGCGATGCCAGAAGAAGAACAAGATGGATGGGTCAGCGGCGAGTTGATCCTTTCCCACCGCTGGCGCCGGCGTCGGCGTCGGAGATGCTCACCCAGTCGTGGCAGGAAACCAGGAAGTGGTCCGCGCCGTCGGTCCTGTTCCAGAAGGGGTATTTGGCTGCGATAGTCGAGACGTACTTCTGCAGAAACTCGATCAGGTTATCGTGGGAGTGGGAATCTGGTACGTACAGCTGCGTCTTGAGGAGGTGGGAGCTGAAGGGCATGTAGAAGAGGTGGGCCTGTCTGGGTTCCTCGACGAGGAACCGCCTGCTTCCCTCCATGTGCCTCATGAACCAGCCCTCGGAGGAGTAGATCCCCGTGAGCTCCGGCTGGTGGAAGATGGGCTTCTCCCCCTCCTTGTAAATGTAGACCTTGAGGAGGCTCTCCATCAGGTCGTAGCTCCTGAGACGATGGCTAGCTGGCGTTAGACCCCAGATAGTCAGTCAGTCAGTCACCGTGGAATCCACGACTTTGGTGTTTCGAGCTCTGGAGGTTTACCTTCTGAACATGGAGAAGTTGCGGAAAACGGGTGGGTAGAGCTCCGGATCGCTCTTCACAGTGGGTGCGTTCATAATCTGCTTTCTGGCGTCTAGAATCTCTCGATCTCTCAGAGAAGACCATCTGGGTACCTGTGGAATGCACCAGGAGGATCAGACATTTGATTGATTATATTTAAATAAAAAGAGGCAGACGTTCAGTCAGCGGCTTCCAGCTCTGTCGGACTCACCACTGAACACGATTCGCGGTTCTTGGACGCGAGCTGGTCCATGTCTGAGATCGACATTGCAGATTGTCTCAGCCTCGCCCGCTCCTGCGGGTCCTTGGCGAGTATACAGTCCTCAATAATTTCTCTACCTTCCAATGAAATAGTCTCCATGCCGTCCTGCCACCTCCGTTTCTTCTTCTTCTTCTTCTCCTCCTCCCCCGGTGATGGATCCCCGTTTAGCTTTTCCTCTTTATGAAACTCCACGCTGGTGGCATTGGCGTTGCCGCCGCCGGTCGGCGGGAAGCCAGAGACGTTCTGTGCTTTCTCGGAGTTTTCTGTCGTCATGTAGCCTACATCGGTATCCTTAAAGTCCCTCAGTCGCGTACCATTCCCAAGATCAACAGAGAAACCTCGTTCTTCTTCTCCATCCCCGCCTCTATCGACGTCGCCCAGGTCTCCATCTACTCCTCCCGCCGCATTGAGAGTCTCCCCGTTTTCTAATGACGGAAACGCCGCGCTCCCTGAATCATATGATGGAGAAGGGGACCCGTTGGGAGAATGGCTCGGCAAGATCGTTTTCCCAATAGCAGTAAACAGAGTCATTGAACCATTTCCAGGGCTGACGGTCAGACTGTGAAAACCTAGAACAAGGATGGTCGTCAAGATCGCCACACAGAGAAGTAGTCTGGTTCTGGTCGGGCATATCTTCTGACGCAGAACAAGGTGTTTCTGCACCGCAGACATTACCCGACCCAGGAAATAATGAATCACCAAAGCTGTCTCCTTTACCTGGTACATTAGATGGGAACGCCATCACTGTCAGAGAGAACTGACTCATTTTAATAATTAATTTGAAGCGAAATAGGCGAAATCGAGGATTTTATTTTTTTGAGGAAGTGGCGAAACTGATGGAAAATCATAAGCAAACAATATTTTGAAGAAGAAGCTTGAAGGACTCATTCTATTCAGCAGTTTTGAATTTATGAGCTAAAAATAGACATATTATCCTATTTTTTTGGATGTGCGTTCCTTCAGGAAGTAAGCCACTCTTCATTATCTGATAGCATGATAAGATTCAGGTCAACGAGCTCGGGAAGATGGCTCGTCGGGAAGATTTTCTAGATATCCCAACATCAACGTTTCTGATAAGCCTAAAAAGACAAAAAGCCCCAGACAGAGACACAGAAAATAAGAGCTTCTCATAGAAGTTCTTGATCTCTCCTGCACAGACAATATCCCTTTCATGGCGAAGGACACTTTGCTTGGCGTCAACGAGAAATTCAGCAAGGGACGAAGCATAGAGCAGGGCAGAGAGATCATAGCAGAGGAGAGAAGCCAAGGACGCCGAGAGTACCCGCAAGAACTCGGAGCCGATGACGAGCGAGAATCCCACCCAGAGGTAATCTACAAGAAGCATCCAGGGAGATTAGTGCCCTCTCAGTTTGCACGGTTAACGCAATCATGGGAGAAAGTGCTGTCGCAGAAGCTTACAGGTGTTCGTCTCCCTCTGCAACGCTAGCTGCCTTGCGAGTGGTGGTAACAGGGGCATTTAAACGATGCTTGGGGCGGCCGTGGAATCGTTTAAAATAAATAGCCGATTTAGGCGCTGTAGCCGAAAGGAATCTAGTTTCCGTCACGATTGTTCACCGTCACAGTACTCTGCTCACCGATGCTAACATGCTGCCACCCTCCCTCCGCCGGTTAACCCACCTCTGCGGCAAATTTTAATGTTGTAATCAGAACTGCGTCGGCCATGATCGAGCTCGAGAAGTCAGCGGTGTTGGGCACGTGACTCATTCAGTGAGCACGTGAGACCAGTCATTCAGCTCATACGGCGGCGGTTGGATGTAAAAAAGATGAATCGTATTGAATGCCGCGGGGTCAACGGGAGAACCGAAACGCAATTGCTTAAATGGGCGGACCGAGTCACGAGGAGACGAAATGGTTCAGGTCGAAGATCGTAGATTCATTCTTGGGGAGTGTTATTCTGTACTTCTTTCACATCTAGAGCAGCTTTCATCATCGTGAGTTGTTCGCTTCTATTTTCTTACTTCATCGTGCTGTCGTCGAGCTCTCCAGCCGCCGCGTGGAGTATAAACTACTGCTGTGAATAGCAGTCCCTCGCGTTGACTGCGTTGCATATGCCGACGGGTGGTGTTTTTTTACCGTTACATACGAGTGACTCGGGAGGAAGGTTGAAGATGGCTGGCAGCAGTCGACGTGCGGGTGGATGTTTTTTACATTCCCCGAGGGAGATTAAAGATGGGCTACCGTGAGGTCGCCGCCGAGGAACCCTCGCCGCGTGACGATGAAAGAGTAAGTCGTTTGTACGAGGAATGGGGCGGAATGAGGCAGGTTAAAATGGAGAAGGTTCTCCGACCTCTCTCTAAAAAAGAAGGGGAACTCCATCCGTCATAAGACAGAACGGAAGGGGTGAGAAAGGAGTATGAGAGAGTGCTATAGAGATGGTGTGGGTCTCGCCTGCAAGAGAATAAAAACTTCCGAGTGAGTGTGGGTAGCGCTCAAAGTAAGCTGAGGTGACTGCAGTGCGCCAACAGTAAGCTAAGAGTCAGGCTCAAAGCTACGAGTACCTAGGTGTTTTATTATCACAGTAGGGTCTTGGAGATTTCTGCAAATGATGTGGAGGTTGCTCAACGATGATAGAGCAACGGTTGAGGCTGGCCTCATGTGGTTAAATAGAGAACTGGATTATCACCTGTGACAAAATAGTATCAGAACTAAGTTATTACGAGAGAGAGTGGCACCAATAGGTAGACGATCACTCGATTGGAGTATATTGCATGTATCCTTCATTCTATTGAAGCCTTGAAACCACACATCATAGACGTGAAGGAATAGCAAGATACAATGGAACCCACAATAATAGAAGTTGTGGGTCCTTCAATAGTATCATGGGTTAATAGTGTTGATGTAGTAGAACTCTAAGCTTCCATAGAAACTCTGCTGGATTTGAAGGATCTAGTGTTGAAATTGATAGAGAATGATAAAATATAATGAGAATGGATTGAAATCATTCTTGAATCTATGAAACCACAAGTATGAGGATGATCTTTTGGATCAGCACATGAGAGTCGTCCAATGACTTACTCTAGAGAGATAGGATGCTCGGAGAGTGACTATGATGTGTGACCCAAAGACCATGACCTCCTATTTATAGATAAGACGTGGTTATCCTTGTCTTTTTTTAATTTAGTCCATCATAAAATTAGAATAAGACCTGATCTCTATGTATATTTATATTTATACTTATACTTATGATAGAAGTCATAATTCTAAATATTAAAACTTTAATGAATCACTTTAAGTAGGAATAATTCAATAATAGTCCCATAATATATAATTCATATATATCATTGTCCACAATGAGATTAGTTCTAATAATCTCTCACTTGGACAAAATATATATACTAACTTGATATTATACATTATGACCTGATCTCAAATATTTTACTATTATTGTCAAAGTCATATTCAACAATCTCGTTTATCATTATGCCAAAATAGAACTAAAGGAGATTTTGTTCATATTTTTTTCATGATTGAACCTAATAATAATTACATAAAATAATATAATGAATGACATAAATCAAGTATGGATGTATAGCATGAAAATTACATAAAAAAATGTGACTCATACATCTACATTTTTAACTTATTCCTTCTTATTTTGAATGGATCAAATAACTACATTTAGAGTGATAATAATCATAAACTTTATTCATACATGAAATAACTAAAATATATGTCTATAACTATATGAGCATCAAAATACAAACTTCTACTAAAATTACATATCCTCATCAAGTATTACACCTATATGAGTAATATATTCATGAAAGATCCTTGGTGATGGTCCCTTAGTAAGTGGATCTGTTACCATGGAGTTTGTCTTAATATGCTTTATAGACATCTAGTTACTTTGAACTTTTCTCTTAATAATTAAGAACTTGATGTCTATATGTTTAGACTTCATCAAGCTCCTATTGTTATTGAAAAATATAATGTCTGATTTATTGTCACAAAATAATTTTAGTGGTCTTTCAATTTTATCTAAAATTCACACCTTATGACAAAATTCTTCATTAAAATTCTATGACTAAATGTTTCATAACATGCTATAAACTTTTCTGCTATAGTAGAAGAAGTTATGAGTGTCTGCTTAGCACTCTTCCATAGTATAGCTCTTCCACCTAATAAATAAATATAGTCTATAGTAGATTATCTGGTATTAGTGTATTTAGTGAAATCGAAATCTGAATACCTGATGATCTCTAAATGATCTGATTTCTTCTATGTGAATATAAAGTTCTTTGTCTTTGTAAATATCGTATAACTCATTTAGTTGCTTTTTAATGATTCACACTAGGATTGCTTAAATATCTACTCAATACTTTAATCATGTATACAATATTTTGATGCATACATACTTGAGCATACATAAGGCTTTCTATGGTTGATGTATAAGAAATCTTCTGTATCTCTTTAACCTCATAATTATTTTTAGAACACTGATTAAGACCAAACTTATCTCCTTTAACAATAGGGGTATCATAAGGTTTACATCCATGCATATCAAATCTCGCAAGGACTTTCTTGATATAACTATTTTGTGACAACCTTGAGATATTTCGAGGTTGATCTCAATATATCTCAATGCCCAATACAAAATATGTTTTATTGAGATCCTTCATCTCAAAATTCTTTAACAACAATCTTCTAGTGTCATAATGTAAGTCTATGTCATTACTATTAAGTAATATATCATCAATATATAAAACCAAAAATATATGTTTACTCTCACTAAACTTATGAGATACACAGTCATCACCCATATTTATCTCAAAATTAGATGAGATATTTATTTGATAAAATTTGTGATACCATTAATGGAAAGCTTGTTTTAACCTATAGATAAACTTCTTTAATTTACATATCATTTTTTTTAGTCTTTTGACACAAAGTTTTCTAGTTGCATCATATCTATCATTTCATCAATGTCACCATTGAGAAATATAGTCTTTACATCCATTTGATGTAGCTCAAGATCAAAATGAGTTACTAGTGTCATTATTATTCTAAAAGAGTTTTTTGATGAAATTGGAGAGAAAGTTTCTATATAATTAATACTTTCTTTTTGAGTGAATAATTTAATGATAAGACAAGTTTTATATCTTTCCACATTATCTTTTGGCTCTCTTTTCATTTTAAATATCCATTTACAATCAATAGGTTTTGCATGTTCGGCTAATGAGACAAGATTCCATACATCATTATCCTTTATTAATTTAATCTCTTCATTTATGGCATCAATTCACTTATGAAAATTAGAACTTTGCATGACTTGATGGAAGTTGATAGGATCATCTTTCATCACTCTAATGTTAGCCACATGTTTTAAAAGAAATATGATATATTTATACAAAATTATATTCCTCTTATTTCTAGTAGATCTCCTTAATAACACTGGTTTTTGAGTATGTTAAGTTTATTTTGCTGAAGTAGGAGACATGATGACGTTATTTTGATATGAAATTACTTCTTAATTAATATTAGTCAAGATAATGTCATCAAAATCATTGTCAATAGTAATAAAGGAATATTTATATATTATTATTCAAAATTGATATCTCTAACTTATCTCTTCCTTGTAAACTCTACATCCTCAAAGAAATAAGTATTTTCTATCTCAAAAATAACTTTAGTAGTGGGATTATAAAACTTAT